GGATGTCAGTTACTGGATTGACTGGCCCAGGCTTGATATTTTAGTGACTGCCATCATACAGTTGAACTATTGCTGAATGCAGCATTACATGGGCACTGACCCAGAGCTATTACGTCGTTTAGCTTCCTGGTGGATACTCATTGCTCCCTCAACTGGGGACTGAGCAGCTGTCTACCTAGGCAGAGTTCCTTCAACCTATCCAGTGATACAATAAGAACGGTGGATTCCCATCAGATGCTGTTGAGCGGGGGTACCGAAGAAACGTCGGCCATTTTGTTTCCTCATGATGCACCTGGCTAACCTAGTTAAATACCTGGATGACCTATTTAGACAACTTGAAAACAGATAATTGATCTAGTTAAACACCTGGCCCAGATGATAAATGAGTCTTTGCCCATAGAAACAGTCTATTTTTAGACTATGACTCAAATTACTATTTTAGATCACAGTGAGAGAATATAAGGCTACAAACAATGTTTGGAAATTCATTCTCATCTGAATATTTGAAGTGAACGTCTCTTCTCAGTGAAAACCGTTCTATGCTCTTGACTCTACTGGCTCTGTTGATTGTTTACCTCGAAGATAGAAAATGGAAACTGTTCACCGTGATATTCTCAGGAAGAATCAGTCCAGACTAGTACATACATATAGACGACGTGGTACAGTTTAAAGCCCTAATTGTTACATGAAAGCTGAAATTATCAAATAACCTCAAACCTCCTTTGACGGAGCCAGAGACCTTACCTAGACGGGGCCCCGAAGCTTACTACCTCTTCTGTAAAGTTTTGGAGGGATGTGGAGAGACAGAAGCAACGGAATTGCTTGCTCTTGAAACTCCTGATCCTACTGACAAAAATATAACAGAGTTACAGGATCCCCTTTGTCGTTTGGACTTGGGGGTGATGTATGCGGACACCAAGACCTGTGTATGGACAGTACCCCTCCTCTGATTAAACGTCAAACAAGGCTCCAAGGACAGCTGAATGCCTTTCAGTCTTGGCCTTTGCAAATGAAACAGAGTCCTAGTAAAATGACCCTGGCATGATTTATGTACTTAATCACTGGGAGTTATGCTAGCCCTGTTAAATTGTATGATCCGTGAAAGACTGTGGATATCTATATAAAACGCCACAAGGGCAATCCAGCTTCATTTATCCGTGGACCAGGGGGGTGACACTTACCTCAAGCCACTCTCGTTTTGGTCTGCGATACTGATACCCGATACTGATAAATGGACACGATGTTATATGCTCAGGGCTGAAGGTAAAGGAGATCGTTATGATTCAGTTATGCTATTAGGATAACAATCTGCCATCATGTCTGGGGATCGTGTCAGAGTGGAAGAAAACAGACAAAAAAGAAACAGAAACCTCAGAACAGCCTAAGATTAATTTTGTTACTCCTACTCAACAAAAGGTCGAACAAGCCAAAGCACGGCTGAAGAGAGAAATGGAAAAAAATCAAATGGCCAAGGAAATCCACAGTTTGAGGAGTTGTAAGAAAACAAATGAAAACAGGTTTTTAAAATGTCCATATATAAGACTAAATTTGCCATTTGCCATTTCATTTGTAGTAGAACTGTAGAACATAGTTAATGCAGAAATAAATGCTCTCTTGAAGTACGGTGTGGGTGTCATGTACAGTCAATAAATTGTGAATCCGAATTAAATCTGCGAGAAAGAGTTAAAAAAACATCATATATCAAGATGGGGATATCCATAAATGCCTGCAGAGTTCGAATCAGCAGATGTATCCCACCAAGTGGACTCAAACAGATTGAAACGATCCTGCCCTACAATCACTGACACAGAATGGACGCCAGGTGTGGACATAACATATCGCCAGGTGTGGACATAACATATCGCCAGGTGTGGACATAACATATCGCCAGGTATGGACATAACATATCGCCAGGTATGGACATAACATATAGCCAGGTGTGGACATAACATATCGCCAGGTGTTGACATAACATATCGCCAGGTGTGGACATAACATATCGCCAGGTGTGGACATAACATATAGCCAGGTATGGACATAACATATCGCCAGGGGTGGACATAACATATCGCCAGGTATGGACATAACATATCGCCAGGTGTGGACATAACATATCGCCAAGTGTGGACATAACATATTGCCAGGTGTGGACATAACATATCGCCAGGTGTGGACATAACATATCGCCAGGTATGGACATAACATATAGCCAGGTGTGGACATAACATATCGCCAGATATGGACATAACATATCGCCAGACGTGGACATAACATATCGCCAAGTGTGGACATAACATATCGCCAGGTGTGGACATAACATATCGCCAGGTATGGACATAACATATCGCCAGGTATGGACATAACATATCGCCAGGTATGGACATAACATATCGCCAGGTATGGACATAACATATCGCCAGGTATGGACATAACATATCGCCAGGTGTGGACATAACATACTGTCTTCTCCTGTGTCTGATACGTCTTTTCAGTGTGTTGAACAGCAGTATTTCTGGTGAGTTCAGTTTAATCAGCACAATCCTACATTTATACCCAGTCATTTTTGTGCGACAGTGATAAATGTTGCAACAATCCCATGTACAACGGGACATTGTTTACATATTGTAAAACGTACAATTCATCTGTCGTCAAGATAAACTGTCCAGTATCTCTTTTGCATCTTGCCGGTGACATTGAAGTAAACCAAAGCCCAACAAATACAGAGTGTGATGATCTATAAGATGCTATACTAAAACAAAGAGTCGGAAGGTAAACTGTCTAAAAGCATTAACTCACTGAAAGTAGATGTTCACTCTACGAAGGAAGAGATTTGTGGAAAGAAATAGATAACACAAGAGAAGGGCAAGCTATTATACTAGCAGATATATCAGCGCTGTCAGACAGGATGTTAGACACTGAGGATATCCGACAGTATGTATAGAGGAGCAAGAAAACTAGTAGAGTAGATGAAACAACATTATTCTGTACGGTATGCCTGAAAGTACACACGATTCATATAGAGTGTGTAAGCAGAAAGTGCTTGATGTCAATAACACAGCCCGAAAAACATCAAAACCTCACTTTGTGTTCTATCCCCTGGGATGTTGAACGGGCACACCGTATAGGAGCAAAACACCACAACAAACCCAGACCTGTGATTTTGAAGCTTCTGCAGTGGGAGGATAAAATGCAAATTACAGGTCAGAGAGACAGTTTGAGACAAACTGGTTATGGTGTTGCAACTGAATAAACTGAGAGAGGGAAATCCTGATACACATTTTTATTACAAGGGAAATAAAATAATGAGAAGTGTGAGACGTGAGGGTAGAAGTGAGAGTTCGAGACAGGAAAGGAACAGACAGAGTGATGTGAGATCCACTAACGTGAGCCAGGAGACAAGGGGTGCTTCAGGACGAGACTAAGGACCTAGTCCAAATGTCAGGTAATACTGCGGGGCTTTAAATATGTTCAGATATCTTAAACAATCCTTTCAAGATTACAACTCTGCCAGAAGTAGGTATAATGATGTCGTCGGAAACAAGTGTATTACACAAATGAAAGGCTAAAGTTATTAGAAAATTTAATTCATAAGCCCAAGAAATTCTGGGAAGTTATAACAAGTTTCACTGAGAATAGTATAAGTAGTATTTGTTATAATGAGGATAGTGATAAAGGCTAAGATTATTCTTCTAACAGTTTTAATTGTGATGTGGACATTTCTGAAGATGATCTTAATACTGATGTTTTAGATGCTCCTATTACAGAAACAGAAACACAAGAAAATATACTACATTTGAAAATGAATAAATCTGCGGGAATAGAAAATCTTTATCCAGAGTTTTTTAAATGTTCTAAGGATATGCTTATACCTTACCTGTGTGTTATATTTAATTTAATGTTGGAAAAAGCTTATTTTCCCAAATGATGGGAAGTTGGTATTAGTAATCCTTTGTATAAGAGTGGAGATCCTAATAATCCAGAGCATTATCGAGGAATTACTTTGCTTGGCGATTTTATTAAAAAATTTCTGTATATCATTAATGGAAGATTAATATTTTGGACTGATGCTACAAATAAGATTAATGAAGCGCAGGCAGGCTTTAGAGAAGGTTATTCAACCATTGACAATGTATCTATTTTAAACAGCCACATACGGTGATATCTCTCTTGTAAAGGTTCGAAGTTTGATGTCTTTTTTTGTTGATTTTTCTAAAGCATTTGATTCTGTTTATAGAAATAGCTATTTACAGCAAATGGTTTGAGTAATAAAATGAGGAACATGTTACAAAGCATATATGACAATGTTACAGAACGTATAAGAACTCATGGAGTTTTGTCAGCAACTTTTGACTGTAATATTGGTGTTTTTCAAGGGTGTATACTGAGCCCATTTTTGTTTTCGTTCTAAATAAATGAACTAGCGACTGCCGCTCATCAGGGTTGTACAGATGGTACACAAATAGAAGCGATAAAACCCTTTCCACATTCGTAAGAAATCTCTGCCAGAAACAGAGTCGATTGTACAATTGTGACTATATCCTGAGCAGATATTTGTTTCAGCGGTATTACAGCCTTGTGGTGTTGTTTGTACACAAATCGGGTCTGAACCAGACAATCCGGTGATTGTCACCATGCGATACGAAGACATTTTTTAATACCTGCAGATGAAGTTAAATTTCAAAATGTATCCAATATTTATCATGATAATGAAGCTGGAAATATTAAAGGGTTCAACGATTATTACGTTTCCAATTAATTCCTATACGAAACTGTACTTCATCTCTGTTGATCAATGTAAGGATACGCCCTTATACTACGAATTGCACTTGCGGGTGGCGCAACAGAGATCGCAAACCAGTCAATATAATTAGGAAATCATCCAGGTAGTCGTGGGAGAAAAAACAATAACAAAAGCGTCAACCAGCCTGCTTGGTGATTCACCCCGCTTTCACAATTAGCTAGTTCAACTCAAGGTAGGGAAAACAACATGATATACTTACAGTGTCACGTGAAGGTCTCAGTCATCAACATCGCATACTGGTTTCCGTCATTCGCAGGGCCCAAGGTTCTCTGTTGCTACAGTTGATAACATTCCATCGGTCGGTAATCCTTACGAACTTGCACCGATTGGTTTCGGCTGGTTGGAAGTACTTTCTGTTGTGCTGTACCGCGGGAGGCGGTTAATGTTGACAGTGCTTCACACATGCAAACGTTAGAATGTGTTTTCTAGTCCAACTTTGTAGAGCTCGTGTTCTGATGTTCTCACTATCTGAATTTCTGTTTTGTTGAATTTCTTCCGCATTGGACGACACCGACGTTTCTTCCGGGTTTCTTATCAGGCTAACAATGTCAGTTGTTACATTGCAAATGTACTCCACACTTTCAGCCGTATGTTATTTGCGCCAATCACACATACAGGTTTTCAGGTCACCCTGCGCATCTCCCGTAAGTCCGTTCGAGTGCTTTGATGTGATCATTTCTATGGACAGCAGTCATGGTCAGTTCGCTGCCCATCACCATTGTTGATGCTCCTTAAGTGCAATATAGTAGGGGCGGACATAGAGCTGGAATACACTTTGGCCATTGTAGCAGAATAACCACTCATGAAATCACGGACTTGGTGCAGTAAGAAGTACAGAAATATGTAGGCTTAAGGATGTGTGACGTTTCATGTGACAACTTTAGAGGCAGTTGTTAACAACACCCTTACATTCATGAAGTACATCATGCACTTTGATAATTATATACAAACACAAAAAGGGACATAATTGCAGTTTATTAATCAGAAATGTAACTTCAGTGCTCTCGGCATGATGCTAATAGCTGAAGGGATGATGTAAATCCAGCTAGGGTCCATGCAGGAAGCAAATGTACTGTAAGTCCCCATGGTCCCTAGTATGGTGATCTACCTTCAGCTCTTGGCAATCTATAGCCTGTTTATATATTGTATTGCTCTCTTTAAAAATACCGTTTTATGAATCATGCTAGTTATACTTCAACATCTGTGATACACTGGTAGTTTTACTGTTCTTCGTCAACAGGCTTTTACGTTCAAATTTTATTGTTCTGCAATACAATAATTAGCTGTTCTCGTCACGTTATGGCTGAAATATTGCCGATGTGACGATAAATATCAACTCATTCAGTACTCACTCACTCACTGTCGGCATGTCGTCTCTATGTAGTCATTGGTTACTAGTATTTCACAAGATACTGAGGAAGTACAAATCATGTTTGCTGCTTTTCATATAGGAACAGGACTCGATTATCAGGGTTATCCTGTCAAATAACAGTTGTGACTAATGTTACCTTGGCTTATTTTAAATTTGGGCCGGTATTTTGTGTCAGTTACATCCTTGTTAGAATTTGAATTTGACGTCAATTCGTTCTTTACAAATACTATCGACCAAGGGACTCTTTCCTCTTTCCTGTTACTGAACTTTTCATAATTTGCAAAATTCAGTAACAGGAACGAGGAAAGTTTTTATCAACCTTCTGTACACGATTGAAAACAAATGATAATGCATTGAAGCAAAGACACTTCGGTCACAACTAATCTTTATGGCACACCGTTTGTTCGGAATATCCCGACATGGCTGTGCGGAATAGCCTGGCAAGGGTGTTCAGACGAGTCGATAAGAGTTCAAACAATTATGAAACCTTGATGATGTGAAATATGTATTAGCAAAATGATTGGGGGACTGAACTTGCTTGTCTGTGTATGTGTATATGATTCCCACTGACGGGTTCTTTGTTAGTATTACTTATTACTTCATATTATAAAACACAACAGGAAATAGGCAGGATATGGTGTCAGCTTTTCGGTAAAACCCGACACCGCTCTGTGTCTTAATTTAAATGTCGAATTTTACTGGGAGTATTGAATTTGATAAAAAAAACCTTTTAATTGTGATCACCGGTATTTTTGTTGTTGTTGTTTGATCGAATCACCAATTCTGAAACATCGCCGATGAACCGAGAATCGTTGTGAATGTTTTGGAAAACAAGAAATTTCAGTCATATTGCAGAGTGTTTATGAAAACATGTCACACGTATTTAAGTTATGTTTCGCCCATTACATCGCCACTACAATTCAATATCAGCGTCCTTACATGAATGCCTCAAGTCCTCAAACACTCACCGTTACCTCAACTTGTACAGGCTAGGGTTAGGGTTAGGCTAAAAAGGGCCCAAATAAGTGCCAAACATGCGTTTTTTTGCGCTTACCACCTCCGCACACAACCCCCCAACACGTTCAAACGAAAAACCGCACCCAAATCGACCAGAAGGGTCGAAATAAACCTAACCCTAGCTCACCCCCGTAACCCTAGCTATAACTCTAGGCCACCCCCTGGCTGGTCGAAATACCAGCTAACTAGTCAAGTTGATTTTAGCAGGGTTAGAAAAGGTCAAATCGGTGTATTCACTTCCTGATCACTGGACCGTATCATGTTGTTTTAACCTGTAGTGAGTTTGGAACTGTAGGCAGTATGGGAATACACCATGGTATGTGCCTCTTTGTTAATATTCCACTACTTTGCGGCTTGGTAACCAGGGACATTTCAAGTCTTACCCATATGAGGACCTTGATTCGGGCCCGGACCCATTCGTCACCACTCGCCCCTTTCCGTAACCTCCAAGGTTACCGTCTCGATGCTTGTTATATGCAAAAATACGACAAACCAATCAGACGCGTGTAATGATTGCGGTGCTTTGATAATAATAATCCCGAATACTTAAATTATTTATGGCACAATGTCATTGTTAAAAGATCATGAAAAAAATATATCGTCATATTGAAAGTACAAAGAGCGTAGCTAACGGAACTGTGCTGCCTCATGTGATGTCTTTAGTAAGGATAATGCCGTTGACGTTGGGAGATTCAAATACACGCACGTGCTTTTGTTGGCATAACGGCTCTCCTCTATACAATTGAATGTTTTCTCGGGCAATTTGCGGGCATATTTTGGAGATTCTACGTGCGCTTCCGACTTATTTTAGTTAATGTAATTATAAATAGTCATGAGTTGCAAAACAATATATACTGAGTCAAAAAAGAAACTTCACATTCTTTCTTCGGGGCACTATAAAAGAACAAGAGATGGTAAGATGGTGAAATTGTTATTATTTCATTGCTGAGATCTGTGTGATGTACTCGATACACTGACAGTGCCTTAATCAGTTCCATTAGGCTACACCGCCGTTCCAAAACATGGGTATACAGAAAGTCAAGTCACAAGAATAAAAATGCGAAATATCGTGTATGGCCACTGCCAATTCCGTCTCCTCATCGACTGCCTGATGCTTGTGAACACGTGGTTGGGGATTCTGCGCCATTGCTCTTGCAAGGCAGCGCTAAGTTCCTGCAAATTCTGAGGTTGGTTCCTGAGACCACGAAGCCTTCTCCCAAGTGCATCCCAAACTTGCTCTATTAGATTAAGGTCAGGGAACCTCGATGGCCAGTCCATGACGTTGATTCCAGCGTTTTGAAGGAAATTCGTGTCAACATCGCGGTATGCGGCCGAGCATTATCATGCTGGAACTGTAGACCTGGGCCATGAGCCGCCATGAAAGGAACGAGTTCAGGGGTGAGCACCTGGTCGCGGTAAGCAGCAGCTGTGAGGTTTCCACGGATGACCAGAAGTCGTGAACGGTTGTTCCCATAGAAAGCACCCCACACCATGCAACTTCCGCCCCCGAATCTGTCGACTTCCTGTACACAACATTGGGCATACCGTTCATGACGTCGTCTCCAGACTCTATGCCTGCCGTCCGCGAATCTGAGGGTAAACCTGGATTCATCGCTAAAGACGACTCGATTCCAGTCTCTCTGGGTCCATCGGAGGTGACGTTGGGCCCACAGCAGACGTTGACGTTGATGAAACGGCGTCAATATTGGCCCACGATATGGACGTCGAGAATGGAGATTGGCAGCCCGCAACCGATTTCGAATGGTCTGTGAGGACAGTCGACCTCTAAACATCTCAGCCCTGGTTCGTGTAGCCGGCAGAAATCTGTCACGAAGGTGACGTAGGACGATTTGACGGTCTTCTGCTCGTGACGTCACACGTGGACGACCCGACCTTGGGCGATCAGAAGTGGTGCCAGTTTGTTGTAGACGACCTCACAAGTCATACACAGTACGACGGCTGCATCCCATTGCTCTTGCGACGTCAATAACTGATCTTCCCGCTTGCACATTTGACAATCGTGGCATTTCAAGTACCGTTAGAACTGTGGTTTAAAAGTGTTTTTTCAATTCTTGAGGCCAATGCAAACACGTGCATATGAAGAAAACTTCGATGCGAAGATCACGTGATCGACTGCACGTGCAAAATCTGATTTGGCACTAACGTCATTTGCACGACGAATGGATGGGTTTGAGTGGGTTTTGCTACCGTTTTTCTAGAGTCGACAGATAGGGATCCCATTTCGGAGACATAGATGTATCATCAGTGAAATATTATTCATTATATTTCAAATTACATTTTGTGAAGTTTCTTTTTTGACTCAGTATATTTTATACAAATAACGAGCTAATCACCGTGCTTACATTTCACGTCATTGGGCATATTTTAGCTTCTTTGGTTCTTCATATTTTGTCAGCGTATTCATCATAAATTCCACCTGGGGTATGGCAGCAAGATTGCATGCAAGCTCAAACAATTGGTTGACACCGCGTACACTAATTCATGATAGGACTCTCCACAAATTCTCCTGTTCGATATATATGCTAAAGTAATTTTTGTGGATTTATTTTCTCTGATCACATCTAAATGTTATTTTAATTGCCTATTCAGGAAGAAGAAAAACATGTGTGATTCGCAAGCCGTATTTGGGAATATAAAGTGAAAAGCTGGTATTAATTACAAAAGAGCGTGTATACAATAAATTATCATTGTTATTATTTATTTAACAAGTCAATTTTTTTTAAAAGCATCAATTTTCGAGTGTTTCTGTAATGCTTATCACTGTTAGAATTGGGTTGTCGTTCTTGTTTAAAGTAGTTCTGATGTTCAAACGCCAATATGAAATCCTTCCATTGCGGCACGAGTCGCTTTTCGGCTTGTCCCGGGATAACACGAGTTGGTCACGAATGACTCAGACACAGGCCTCCAGGCGCGTGTATGCGTGCGTGCGTGCGTGTGTGTGTGTGTGGTGTGGTGTTATAGGGGTGGGGTGGGGGTTGTATCCAAGTTCGCTCGTCATGCCGAAGGCTCGACTTCGATTCTCTACATGGGTACAATGTGTGAAGCCCATTTCTGGTGTCCCCCTCCGTGATATTGCTGGAATATTGCTTGAAGCGGGGTAAAACCTATTCACTCACTCTAGGCACGGCTGTTCCTCGTTGATTTGAGGTAAATAAAAAGAATAACATTACAACAACATGATGTTTAATGAGGGTACGTTTATTATTCACCTCTGATTCTGCTGCAGTCAAATGGACAACAAAATCTAACTTCACAATGCATAAAACTAGTTAAATCCGAACTGATAAGAAAGCGCATACATCTCCGACTTCGGCATATAGGTGGTATATCCGACTTCGGCATATAGGTGGTATATCCGACTTCGGCATATAGGTGGTATATACGACTTCGGCATATATGGGGAATATCCGACTTCTGTGTATCGACATGTATTCTCGACATCAGTGTCTATATTGGCAGTATATCTTACACAAATAGCAGGCAATTGTAGAAGTTTGCTTCACATTGGATAACCTGTTAACTTGATGTCCTTTGGGTACCTCTTAGTCACCACTCACTTGATGTCCTTTGGTTGTCTTTGGTAACAACTACCTTGAAGTCCACGGGCTTGAGAGTAAGGCCATACTTGCTGTCGATCACAGGAGCGCCACCTAACGGGCTCTCGAACTTACATTTCAGCATCATGGTAGCAAAGAACAGAAACAGTTCCATCTTTGCCAACTGTTCCCCGGGACATCGTCGACGGCCGACTCCAAACGGGAGGAAGAATTCAGTTTTTGCCTTATCAATTCGGCGTCCAGTGTCGTCAAGGAAACGGTAGGGGTCAAACCTGTCTGGATCAGGAAACAGGTCCTCGTCATGGCTGACTGACCACATGTTAACAAAGATCAGCGTTTTATCGGGGATGTGGTAATTCTTCAGTGACGTGTCCTTTGTTGTGCTGTGCGGCAAGGCGAAAGGGAAGTTACAAGAGTGACGCATTATCTCCAAAAGGCAAGCCTCCGTGAATGGAAGATTGTTCATGTCCTCCAGATCTAGCGTTCCGGTCAGAGCAACGTGAGAGCTAATCTCTTCGTAAACTTTGTCTTGGTGATCAGGATAAGCCATCATGAACAGAACACTCCACTGCAGAGTATTAGCTATTGTGTCAAAGCCGGCACCGATGAGTTCTTGAACCGTTGTCAAGATGTGTTCATCCGTCTCACCCACCGCTTCCTTCTCTTCATCTGGTGTCTCCTGAACCGCCCGGATGAGAAGGTCGGTGACGTCCCTCGCAACTGCGGGGTCGTAGGTGTCCAGGTGCTCCTTCTGTTTCTTGACGCAGAAGGCGGTCATTGTGTTCAGGATACCCACGAAGGTGTTGAATGAACGGAACGTGAAGAACCTGACCCACGGCATGATATCCACGGGGTTACCGGCCCCTGCAGACGCCATAAACTCATCTTTCATTCTTATAAGCTGCAGGAAATCTGGATCATCACGTTTGTATCGTACTAAAACACAAGGCACATATGATGTTTCCTACCGATAAGTAGATCTCGTTGTGCGGATTTGTAGGAGCCCCGTTTGATGCCAGGAGGTTAGAAACCAACACCTCCGCTTCGGAAACGATAGATTCCTCGATAGGATTAGTTTTCTTGTTTATGCATCCAGCCAAAGCGTTTTGCGCCAGACGTCGATGCATCTTCCAACGCGGGCCGTAGTCACCCAAACCCATGCTCTTCCCGTTTTCTATGAACTTGAAGGAGTAAAAGTCGGGCCTACCAGCAAACTCCTCGGCTTGTTTTACGAGCGCCTGTTTGATTGTGAAAAGTCCATTTAAGACAACTGTCTGTCGACTGCCAAGCGTCTCCGTATTTCTTCCTGAGCTGCGTTAATGTCACGTGAGGCTTTTTGCCGAGCTGAGGAAGGTTGCCGATCACTGGCCAGCCCCAGGGCCCCGGGGGAGCATTGTCCCCTCTTCCCGCTGGGGACCGGTTTAATGTAAAACAAACCAGTAAGATGATTACACACACGCAGAGAAGTGGGGACAATGACGATAGATGCACGTCAAACACAGATGCAACTGCTCCAAACATGATTGAAAATCCTTCTTTTAAATTGACAGAGCTTCTAATCCATTAAATCAATGTGACAAAGATACGGAACATAGTCACTCACTTAATACACCTCGTGGTGACTGTTGACCATCTCTCCTTCTTGGACGCCGGCTAGTCCATGTAATCCTTTAAATATGTATCACGTCCTTGCTAGATGCATAACACGAATATGTAACGTTCTGTCACGACTCGACGTCTCCAGATGCAACTGCTAACGCGGTAAGTGTCCAATCACCGAATGACAGATTACCTCATCAATCCAGTGATGTAACTCTCCAAAGTTAGTGATCTAGAGGTTCCACTTGTGTCGGTAGATATCGATCATGAAGACACCGCTGTTACGGCGCTGTTCACAACTAGCCATTGCCCTGTCCACACCAGGAGAGTCGGACGACAACTGGACGACAACTGCCCTGTATCGTCCACTTGACCTGTCCAATGACTAATATTCCGTTTTCGGGACGTTTGAGGCAATGTGATTAGCCCCAAACATGGTTAACGTATCTCCAGGAGCCAGTTTCATAACGATCGTACTGAGTGTCATGCCTGAAGCGCTGTCCATCCATGTCTTACTTCAATTTGTTTCATTGTTTTCAAGGCGTCAAAATAAACTGATTTATTCTGTGGACGGGTACATTTGATTAGATTGGTAAATTGATTAGATAAGCGAATTATTCAGCGTGATTGGCAGTGTTGAACGTGTATATACTGGTAAGGTATTGTTTCATTATAATATAGAACACACTTTATGGATAACAGCTTCTTCATTTCGTGAAGTTGTTATCCATTAAGTGGGTTGTATATTGTACGTGTCAACTTGTAAAATGCCACTCAAGCAAGGTATTGTTTCACTGTTTACGCTGTGATGTTTGAACAACGCGATTGTGTCATATGTGTTCTGCATAGTTAGATGTTGAGATAAAATACCAGCCCAAATATCACGTTTACTGCTACCCAAGTCCCTTTCAAAATATGTTAAATTTGTTCGTGTTTATACCCGTTTTTTCAGTTTTTCTGTTTTTGAATGTGAATTTCTTCTTCATCATAATTAAATATTTGCTGTAAGTGCTATAGATGAAAACCAATCCATCTGTATTAACCGTGATGCAGGCCTTTGAGATATTTTCAGACTCAATACGATGACCTCTCTGTCCAGCTCAGCGTCCAAGTAGAGGGCAAAGTGGACAATAAAGGTAGTCATGTTATCCCGACGTGATATTCAACAATGGACTGGACATACTTGGCAAATACAGGTGGACAGTCACGTGACAGCCGTGACGCGAGAAATGAGAGAAGTTACCCACAGCCGCACTGCTATCAAGGACCACTTCACCGCAAATGCAAGGAACACATACTGCCTATCGCCTGAATGCAAGCGTGCTTACGTGCGCGTGTGTGTGAGTGTGTAATGGGTATGAAACGTGGTTATAAATAAAATATAGAAGTTATTGAAAACAACTTTCATGTTAGCATAGTCATCAGCAACCGACCTCTCAACTGATTAAGCTGACATCTTCCCCGGTGCAATTCAAGTTATGGTTGTGATTACATTTGATCTTATTTCACGAGTCAGAAATTGAGGATTTACATTGCTTATGTTTCCATCGCACATGTCGCGATTGCACCACATCTCGATGTGAAACGCTACTCATCTTGATCAGGTAATCTCACTAATCATCAGCCTTCACTGAAACGTTCAGTAAAATACCTTTGAGTGACACATTACATCCCTGTATCCCCCGTGGGCACTACGGGTTAGAACAGGTCCCCAGCACCCATGCAGGTTGTGAGAAGGGACGAAATTGGATCGGGTGGTAAGGCTTTGTGATTTGATCGATGGCGTGTCAACGAACCCCGCCGGCGTGAATCACTTAATAAATCACTGAATTGTCTGGTCCGACGTATTGCGGAGAATGTATTGCAGGGTTAAACAATAAACTAACCCCACCCCGATGTATATTCCCTGTGATGTATAACTGCGTGTATAGGGTTGATGAACGGCTGATGTGCATATACGTTGCGAAAAATTGTCCGCTACACAATTATGGATAAACACTTCAGACATGACCACGCCCATAATATTTCACCGAATGTGTAGCAGAGACGACAGAGGCAAATGTCAAACTATACACTGACTTGTACCCAAACAATATATTTATTAATCGAAAAAATATGACACATTTGTAACACATTATCTGTATATGAAATGTTGACAAGGTTTTAGTGTAACGGTTCAGGAAGATGCAAGCAGTTGCTCATAACACTACTGCGCATATTTACACAACAAGCATCTTTGTATAATATAAGTTGTATGCTTCTCTCGAGGGTAATACCGTCTGATGTACGCCTAGGCGTACATTAGACCGTATTACCCCAGGGAGAAGCATACAACGTATATGTCTTACCGCCATGTTAAATGTACAAACTATCATTTTATTTTATTTCAAAGATCGCTACTGACTACATGTAAACAAAATGGCGTCTGCCCCTCGACTGGATTTTCTAAATCAGTGAAACATATTCTGACAAGGTTAACACTGCTATAAAAATGGCTAATTATGTTTAAGCTGAGTGTGCAAACGATTCAATGTATAAAATAGTTTAAATAAAGAAGTGAAATTCGGTAAAATAGATCTGAACATAGTGAACTCAAAAACAGCTAATCGAACGGTTTTAGAACTCCGGACACTGCATGCGTCGTGTTATGACGTCATACGATTGTTAGCGATACAGCTTCTAGGCGGACAGTTTGGCGGTTACCGTGGCAGCGGGTAATACTTTTTCCAGTTGTCAACCTCCTGGGAAGAGTGAAACGAAAACTAGTTAAAGCGTCATTGACCAATGTAATTAAAGTATTTCACATAAGGGTAAGATAAAGAAATATGACTTCAAAACAAATAAACATACTAGGATTGCCTCCTGGGCAATAAACATGACGGTCTTCAGACTTCCCCATACACTCCCCGTGGCTGCCTTTACTTGTACTCTTTCTTTGGACGCCAGCTCAGTACAAGGTCATTGACACCGCTTTGAAATGAGGTCAGCCAGGTGTTCGATGAAGACGTCATTTGGGACTATTTCAACCTGTCTACAACATACAAATGTCATAGCTCTGCGAGAAAACAACGGATCTCAATTTTATACATCACATCAACCAATGACAACCAATATGGATTTATTCTCAAATAGTCGCAAATACACACAGTACTGTACAATGGACATAATGGACATCACACTCTTACCCATGTCAATCTACTTGACTACCCCAGCGGACCACCTCTTTCTGAGGTACTACTACCAGGGCCAAATATGGACAGTTTGGATACCATTTTTTATGTTTGACCCAAGGATCATCCTCTACATCCCGGTTCTTGAGAACAACACCACATTGAACACACTTGCAACCGTCTCCTCTGATTAAGTACACAAATCCTGCCCGGCCATTTGACTAGGACTCTGTTTCATCTGCACAGGCCAAGACTGAAAAGAATTCAGCCGTTCTTGGAACCGTGTTTGAGGTTTGGGAGGGATACTGTCCATACATAGGTACCCACCTAGCTCATCATGACCATGAGGATACTCTGTCTTGTCTGTCTCTAGTCCCAGCAATGTCATGGCTTGTATTCTCCGCATTCCTCCAAAGCTTTACAGAAGAGGGTGTAAGCTTGGGGTCCTCGTCGGGGAAGGGTATCTAATAAAGCTCTGACCCGGTCAAAGGAGGTTGTTGGTTTGTCGATAATCTCTGCCTTCATGAAGATGGTAAGGACTTCAAACTGTACCAGTTTGTCGACCACCTCTTTTACACGCTGTATAGCTAACACGAGGTCGGAGCGATTCTTCCTCCGGATATCACGGTGCGAGGCTTCCATTTTCTATCTTCGAGGTAAACGGCTACCAGAACCAACAGAGTTAAGAGCATGCGTGCGTTCTCTCTGGCGACTGAATGACACGGGGACTGTTCGGGTGCGTTATATTGCCCACTCGAGTCTAAAAATACGTTTGGGAAAGTTGTTTATCCCAAGGTCAGCTCAGTACAAGGTCATTGACACCCCTGTGAAATGAGGTCAGCCAGGTGTTCGATGATGACGTCATTTGGGACTATTTCAACCTGTCTACAGCAGTAGTATCAGTAGTATCAGTCTCTGGTGTCAAGGTGGCATCCTCTGTCATTCAACCTTGCTCTGTTGCCAAGGACCTTGGTGTGTACATAGACTCTAATGTCTCACTTGATGCCCACATTACAGAAACTCCAAGCAATTCAAAATACTGCTGCTCGTATTGTGTGTCTGAAATCTAAGCGTGATCACATCAGTCCATCACTCATTTTCCTGCATTGGCTCCCTGTTAAATACCGCATCAACTTCAAGATCCTGTGCCTTGTGTACAAATGTCTCCACTTTCAGGCTCCAGAGTATCTGTCTGAACTCCTTACACTTTAAACCCCTGCAAGATGTCAAAGATCTGTAAATCAGCACTTACTTACAGTCCCTAAAGTCAGACTTGTCTCCAATGGTCAGAGGACCTTTGCCTACACTGCAGCATTGCTTTGGAATTCACTGCCAGTTGACATCAAATGTGCCACTGAACTCTTTCAAGTCCCTTCTTAAAACCTATTACTTCTCCAGAGCCTTCTCTTAGATCTTTTCTTCCCTTTTAACTACAACTATTTGTAATCTCGTGTCAACATCGTACATAGACTTACTCCTTTTGTAGCGCCTTGAGCGAGCATTGAATGCGCGGATATAGGCGCGGTTACAAATACCCACTATTATTATCATTATTATATATATGAACCCTATGAAAATGCGTTTTTACAAAATTGATCAAATTCCAAAGGCGATAACTCTAAAACCATTCAATATATCGACATGCCTTGAACAATTTATGGAGACCAGAGTGTGGGCTTTACAACGCTATATCAAACACGATTGTACTATTTGCCGATCAGGAGGAGACGTTCATGAACACAGGCACCGTCAAAACGCGCGGAAATATAAAAAATCGTAATGTTTGTGTTTGTGTCGAAATTGTGAGGTAATTATTCATTATTACATAATAACAATCTGAAGCAAAAATCGAATCCATTGTGTTTTCGCAGAGTTGTGACCTTTTATTAACCCTATGAAAATGCGTCTTACAAAAATCCACCAACTTCCAAGGGCGATAACTCCAAAACCATTCAAGATATCGATATTCATTGCGCAAGTTTTGTAATCCGGAGTGTGGGCTTTCCAAGTGCGTATCAAACACGATTGTACTATTTGCCGTTGTGGAGAAGAGATTTTTTTGAAACACAGGCACCTTCAAAACCTGAAAATCTGCAAAAAAATCAGTTTTTCCAAAATTGCGGAAATCTGCTGACCGACAAATTTTATGCGTTGAATCCATAAAGGATGATGATGTCTACATTGGGTGAAAATTTGGTCAGTTTAACTCTTCTAGTTTTGGAGATATTTCATCCCTGAAAGTTTCACCGAAATGGGTTAGGTCAGCAGAGCTGGTACAAAAATTCTGATTGAACAGGGGCTGACTGGCTCAGTATTCTGTGTTTGAGTCAGATATCACAGTGTTATAACCATGTTCATTAGTCTCACAAAGGTTAACCACCTCGCGGTTCAGTGGACGGAAGGAACGTCTGACAAAAGGGGCTGAAACAAGGGCTGACTGGGTCAGTATACCGTGCTTGAGTGGGGTACCCACGTGAAACCGCGGCATGGTACCTCACTGGCCTAGCACTATGAAACTGGTTTACGTTCGCTGTTTAAGTGCAATAGACATGAGTGAGTGAGTTAATATGTAGCGGCACATCGGCAATATATATTGCAGACATGTCGTGGCGAGAACAATTAAATGTATGTCAATATTAAAATCAAGAAATTTAGAACGTAAAAACCTGTCACCGAAGGGCAGTAAAAATACTAGATTATCACAGCTCTTAATTCAAAACTAGTACGCTATCATAAACATACAATAGACATGAACGCGATGCGATAAAGTCCATTGCACTCACTGACGTTATACACGTCGAATACATTCCTCCAACACTAGGCTCAAACATAGTGTTATAACTGAAGTCCTCATCACTGAACAGGTGCTGACCCTAGTACACTCACTCCGCATTTAACGTACACAGAAATACAGACATTCGTCATTAAGAGCTGTATAATTAAACAGTGAACGCACTCGTAAGTGGATATTTATATTGCCCCTTCACGGGGCAGCAGATAACACAAACCTCAACATTGTATCAAAGCATTAGGGAAGCTAAATACAACTCAATGTTGATAAAAGCCTTCATTATTTTTTAATATTTTTTCATGCATGACTGACGCCACACAACTTCACGTCAAAAGTATGAGACAGAAGACGAGCTACTTAAGTAGAAACCTTCGTGTACAAATATAACTTTCATAGCTAATCCATAGAGGAGACGCTGGTTGAGTTAAATCAATTTTTAAATAACATGTAAATTGTTAAGGAAAGAAATTCCGTTGGTTTGATATACTACTGGTGCTAAAAAGAAGTTAAAGAACAGCCTGTTTTCTCACATGATATGCATGTAGTTAATCTGGTATTCTGACTGGTGGGAATAGCAACACATGCCCTTTCATTTGTGGTGATCTTTAATTTCTGATTAGCAATATGTATTTATGGGCTACCTGAATATATTTAAAGACAACGGGACTAACAATATATAGACTCACAATACAAAACAATAAAATACAAGAAAATATCCTTAACCCGAAATCATTTGGCCACCCTAAAATACTTATCTATTTACTGCTGTAATGTCCCCATGGTACCTGATATGGCTACCTACCGTCAGTTGTCGCCAGTCTATAGCCTGTTTCTATATTGTATTGTCATCTATAGTTTAAATGTTTTAGATTTAATTACTAGTTGTAAAATTTATATCTGTGATACTCTACGTATTTTACTGTCCTTCGTTGACAGGTGTTTATAATTTACTTATATTTTGTATAAATCTATAACTTGATTTAGTCACGATCTGGCTGAAATATTGCCAGTGTGACATAAAATCTTAACTCACTCACTCACTATCTATTTGCTGGATATGTGAAGTACATCTGCTTCAAGGCTCTTGGAAACTGTAATAGGATTAAACGATTCGTGGAATTTTGTGTTCTGGGGTGTTTTTGTTAAACGGCGTACTCTGGAGCGTGTCAGCTGTATTACGAAAGTCTAAAATAGCCGAGTCAGGTCCAAATCATAATTATAGTGATTGACATCATGATCATCGACCTATGCAGTTGGGATATGATGACATGTTTTAACCAAGCCAACGAGACTGATCACCCTATCCTGTTAGTCGCCTCACTATCACGGAGACGTAGACAACAAGCTTCGTAGCGTAGCGTAGCGTAAAAGATACTGGCCCGCTCAGAAATCCACGTACCGCCTGCTTGTCTTTCGTAGTGTGGTGTAAGAGATATATTGGCCCTGCTCAGAAGCACACGTGCAGCCTGCTTTTCGTTCGTAGCGTGGTGTAAGAAATATATTGGCCACGCTCAGAAACACACGTGAAGCCTGCCTTTCGTTCGTAGCGTGTTGAAGAGATATATGGGCCCCGCTCAGAAATCCACGTACAATCTGCATTTCTTTCGTAGCGTGAGGAAAGATATATACTGGCCCGCTCAGAAACCCACGTACAGCCTGCTTTTCGTTCGTAGCGTGGTGTAAGAGATATATTGGCCCTGCTCAGAAACACACGTGCAGCCTGCGTTTCTGTCGTAGCGTGGTGTAAAAGATATATTGGCCTCGCTCAGAAACACACGTGCAGCCTGCTTTTCTTTCTTGGCGTGGTGTAAAAGATATATTGGCCTCGCTCAGAAACACACGTGCAGACGGCTTTTCTTTCTTACCTCGGAGTGTGTTTGTTAAGGTTAAGGTGATTTAATATATTTGTCGAATAATATTTAAGTTATATTCCACTTTCTGAAAAGCATTTTCATGCCATAACTGTGTCAATGACACTAAATATTAAGTCTAATCACGATATGATGGGTCTTAAAAACTATTCACCTTTAGCAACATGCCATCCATCAAACCAATGTTTAATGCCACCTTTCTCCCTCTTTATATAGGCTTTTACTTGAATGTGTCGGTCTGTTATTATGTCTGAAACATTTACTCTGGCATTCTCAAGATGTGCAAGGCCCCTTTTCAATCCTTCAAGTTCCATGGCATTCGAATTGGCCACTTCATTTGACTGAAACAGAGCAATGTAAATTAAGTCATTTTCAAGTATTTGATATCAGAAAGTATTACTGTACACAACTGAGCATGGTCACTCTTATGCTGTGCATGTCATTTTATGTTATGACAGGATTGTATTCTTACCTGCACCAACTGGATGTCCAAAACTTGATGTGTGTCCACATCGATCAATGTATAGCTTCCATACTTAGCTGTAATACATAAACACATACATACTATGTACAATTGACACAACTTTTCTTCCAAGACATGCTCATGTTAAATATATCAAATACAGTGAAACATTTCTATTTCATAATGGTTTTCAGCCAATTCTTCTTACTATTCCCAGTTACACATGAAATTTATAAGCCAAATAAGTTATTGAAGCCAAACTAGTGTGGACATACCTGTATGTCCAGGTGAACAACACCTTGCATCCCATGCCAGACGTACAGATTTCTCTTTCCTTTCAGCTAATAGCTGAGGTTGGTGTTTTGACCACACCCTTGAAATAGCTCGGACTATGTAGCTTCTCTGGAGTTTATGAAATGTTGACATGCTTATATTGTACATGTTCATAGTTGAATAGCTCCTTAGAGCCTTTGCTGGGCAAAGACTACTAAAGAAAACAGCACAAGCTATGGCTAAATTGCCAAGTGGCAATTGTTTATGTATTGGCTGACTATTCCAGAAGTATGCATGATCTTGGTGTCTGAGGCACTGTACCTGCACTGTCACCAGACTACCACAGATATGATAAATTTTGGCTCTGCATGAATAAGAGCAGAATTTGCAAAACATGAAAAGTGACAGCAAATTGGATTCAAACACCAGGAACTTTGTTTCTTCCATATGGTTGTTCAGGGACCTGAAATGTGAATTAACAACTGTCAAAATCACATAGAAGATTGTACATGTTACATCAGTGCGATCACAATTATTACACGTTATATGGCAGGTATATCATGAATTGGGAATTGGCACATTTAATACATACTCTGGCGGGGATTGAAATTCCTCGAACTTGATCTGACTTGAATGTGGATTGTAATCTTCATCAGTGTCATTTCCATCATCAGTTGTGTCAGGCATATTGTTCTTGCTGTCAGCATCACCTGGTGCCTGTGTAACAATGTGACCAGTTTGCCTAAATAGTATTAGGGCTGTAAGTGCATACACTAACGCTCAGTTACTACCAGATATTTACATCAAAATCAATTCTGTTACAATATCACTAAAACATAACATAACGTACATGTTTCAATACAGAACAATAGTCACTGGATGTAGATTTTGAAAGGATAGTTATTGTAAACATGTTATTGTTACCTCATATTGTGTAGCACAGTCGCATGTATCTGGTGTACACTGGACAGCAATTGTGCACCAAGATGTGTTCATGCTCTTCTGGGTACCAGTCGACATCAAGGAGGGTGTCACACACTGACAGGACTTACTCCGACACTACACATTTGGAATATACAATACAAACATTCAAAAATTGTAAAAGAATATGCAATATAATTTACATTAATTAAAAATTGTCAGTAAGTGTTGTTTTATTACCCTAACTTTTCTGTATTTTTTAAAGCATGGTCTATAAGGAAAGTCAGATTTAAATATTGTATTAATTAACATGCGAAATAACATACAGGTACTTTGTTCTTTATTTTATATCTTTATTAATGCTCTTACCGAAATGAGTTGGTTTGTGTCTGTTCCCACGTCAACTGTCTCAGTAGTAGAGATGTACGTGATTGGATGTTGACAGCTTCGTTTTCCTCCACACACTGACTGCCCTCCGGCATCGAGAGGAACTGGTATTGGTAAACACTACCCCCAGTCGTGAATGAGAACGGCTACAAATTTCAAAAGAAAAGCATTCGATGACGTTATTCACCACCCCCCCCCCCCCCCAAATTCCACAAATGGTTCCGATTCAAAATCACAAAACCAAGCACAATACTTTAGCTCAACGATCAGCTGATCAACGAGGATCGATGTCATTGAAACCAGGAAGTGAACGAGACGCACACGTAATTAGCTACCGAAACTATGAATAAATACTTCTTTATTTTATATATATAAACTACAGTCTTATAAACTAGGGTAGCATGTTTACATTATTTTGGTATTCACTTACTTACCAGAGTTCCCTCGACTTTACGTCGTTTGTTTACAAAAACTGACCAGTCGGGCGCTTGATGAGAGTGCTGTCCCTTGACCTCATTACCATACAAGGATGGAACCGCATCGGGGCGTAGTTGTTTCCGATCAGCTGACTGACTGAGAGTCGTCGATCGCGACACACGACAGCAAGTATCGAAGTGCGCGACACACACCCGCGATTCACAAGTCGGGCCATTACAGTCGCTATCCTTCTTTTTACAGAATTTTATCCATTCTTGTCTTCTTACTTTGGTTTCATGTTTGTTTGCATTGTGGTTCATACAGCGAGGAACCGAACAGTGCACCATGTTCAATTCAATAGTATGCGCATCTGAGACGCTGGAATCAAACACTTGTGCTTGCACTACGTGAAGCGGTTCCATACAACCTGATGACGTCATTTGTTTATAAATGTGGCACCAATTACGTCATTTCCAAGGGACATAAGCCATGGTGTTTTTACTATTGAAATGGAACACTTGGTAAATGTGTAAAATAAAAATCGTTTTCCTGCAAAAAATATATAGTTAATTTTATAATTTTACTGTTTTCGTCTTTAAAAGTACCAAGTAAATAATTTTCATATTAAAAAAGAGCAAGAAAAATAGGTTCATTTTCGTGTACACTTGATAAGTCAGGCAAACATTCCAGTGAGATAACCACAGCCTTCTGTCAGCTGCATGTAACGCCTCGCCCGTTGTTGTTCATGTATTGACCTAGATTATAAAACCGGTTTCCTACTTTCTTTTTCATTTTTCCAAGTAAAACAGTTCATTTACAGTTCACTGGAATACATACGAGAGAGCAGTGTTCTACAGGAACACAATATGTATCTTTCAGAACATCAATGTACTTAATAGTTGCTTCTATTGTATTGTAACATTTGTATTGCGAGTTTTCTATACTGGAACACTTTGCTCATTGTTGTTTAATGTCATGTGGATTGCAAATGGCGTCCATTATATGATTAGATCACCGTTGAATACTACGTTGTAAACAAACATGAAACGTTTCAACTAAGGAGGAAAATACTTCTTTAAGAACGCGATTTCTACTTGTACAGCCGACACTATAATAAATTCACTTATCATTAAGAAAAACATGTCCAGTGGACTCGTCATTGCTTACACACAGTTACAAATATAACAAGATTCAAAATCTGAACAATAATCTATTAGTTTGAATGTCCATAAAGATAAATAAAGATACATGACAGGACCAGTTATAAAAGTAGTGCTTACATAATCTGGGATGTTGCTTCAGGAGTGGAAATTCGGAATGTGGATTTCGTTGGACAACCATGACAGCCATCCAACTCATGTCCACGGAAAACTAAATACGCATGTCGGTGCACATGCGCAGTTCATTGTAGGAAAATTACAATATCTTTTCTAACATTACATAGGACTAGTATCAAATGCCCTTAGAGAAAAGCATTCTGTGCTCAGGTGTTTAATTACTAAAAAAGAATGATACAAAAGAATGTTCATTTGACTATATCACATATGACTAAATATGAACATGATCTGAACATGAGTGACGTCACATTAAGCTGCCGTATCAAGTGAACTTCTTGGAAACTTATTGTCGGTGTTCAACAAGGCAGTGGCCTCAGTCCTATTCTTTATTGGCTGGTCATCAACAAAGCGTCACCGCACATAACCGCCCCTTTGATGATGGCTATAAGTTAAAGATTACATGTTGTTGATGTAATACTTATAGCTGACACAGCTGAGTCGATAACATAAACAGAATGATATTAAGTATGCGTGGCATATACATGTTCTATGTTGAACACATAACTTGAAGCAACCTGGAGAGGTAAATTCAAGTGGACCAGTTAGTGATTGAGAGAAGAGTTCGCCGCTTTAAGCAATATCACGTCGAAGGACACCAGAGTTGAGCTTCATCATTGTACCCTTATAATCAACCCCAAACCAGGATGAGCGAACGCTCTAAAGACAAGTCTACCCTAGCGTACATAAACATCATTGGTAGGACAAACTCTGACTCACCGTGTCGGGTATTTCTTTATTAGCGTGTCTAATGCATGCCTGATGTTTTCTAAATAGACCAGTAATGTAGTGAGTTTTTCCTTCATATCATAACACTGAAATTAATTAGGTTTGACGTTGGATAAGGTTATAAGTCATAAATATACAAGACATAATATGTATATGTAATGTCTTTTAAACGCGGGAACTAATCATCCGAATCGTGCACTCGTAAAGGTGTAAATTACAATACTGCGGGTTCTATCTGAGTGCAACAACTAATCACAATACAGTTCCAAAGTACACATCAACAGCACGTAATGGAGAAGGGTGACGAGAGAACACTATACATCAATGATAAGTCGTCGGAGGACAGTATTACAACTAGATTATCACAAAGTTTTTAAAACTATTTTGACTGCACTTGTACATGTGCAACTGAGTTCATCATACACTTGATAACACCTCCCTGACTGACAAAATGGCGGTGGACAGACAAAATGGCGGTGGACAGACAAAATGGCGGTGGACAGACAAAATGGTGGTGGACAGACAAAATGGCGGTGGACAGACAAAATGGCGGTGGACAGACAAAATGGCGGTGGACAGACAAAATGGCGAATTCCGGGTGTAATGTCACCACTGTATGTTGGCCAAATCAAAAGTGTAATTTTGGGACGGGCTCGTTCAAACGTCCTCTCACTACATTAAGTGACTACTCAAGAGAAAACAGATTCAGACATATCAGTAGATAATTCCGTACAATATAACAGGAAGGCGAACTTCAACACCATCCTAAATGCGTCTCTAAGTATCGTCAAGTCACACAAGTTCGATCGTCATGTAACTTCGATCGCCCATTTTGAATAGTAATTGTCGCAATATGTAAGGATAACTTACGATATTTGCAGCTTTGATCTTCTGGTGACACCACTTTCTTACGTTTGGACCGGAAAATGTTTCGTGTCAAGTTACCAAATGTACGTTATAGCTCATTTTCAGCAAACAACTACTTTTTAACCCTAGATCAATAATGTAACTTTATCAGCTCAAATAAAATGTAAACAGTATAATTTTCACACGTTGTAAATTGACAGAAACCCTGTCTTCTGTTTGTTTACATTGCTCGTCTAATGGTGACATGTCCAGACACGTGATATACTTTGGAAACAAGTAAGGGACATTTCTTATAGAAAACTTAATGCTTTTTGAGAATTTCCGTGAATTTGTACCTGATAAAGTTCGAGCTATTGCCTCATTGATAAATACAGCCTGGGCACAATGTACCCACCCTATATGTCAGCACAGAACACATTTACGTTTCTGCAAGCCAGTTCGTGGTGTTTGTCTACATTCTGAGGTTTGAAGCCCGTCACGATGTGCCTGAAGAATAATTCCCTGCATAATACTTGTATATAAGCTGAATATTGGTGACTTTTCATCGTTTTTAGAAGTATTGAAACATATAATGAACGTTTCATGGACATAAATACCATTAAATTACTTGGAACTGCTCTAGCTCTGAATTTGACACAAGAGTTCGTCCTTACAAGTCATCCTGTTTACGCGACAAGCCAGCCAATCATATGATCGAACTTATGTGACGTAGCTTTCTGGGTCACTTGCGTTGACAGTGAGATTGCGGCCATGCCGCGATTGTGAAAAGCAGTAAAAATACCTGGATTTTGGAAATGTTTGACATAAATAAACAAGTTTAGAGGTAAGAGATTTGAAAATAAGATTATATGAATAAAACTTTGAAACTTCAGCGACAGTTCGTAAGTGATCGAACTTACATGACACAAGGATACAGTCGGCCTGAAAGCACGGCGTTCTGTAAAGGACGTGCCCCTAACGGCTTACCACAGGCGGCAAATTTTGGGGCCAGGCTTGCAACACTAGGAACGGTCAATGGCTCAATTGCTTTATGTCATGTTTACAGACGAATCAAAGTTTTGTCCCCAATCGACAAATGGCAGAAAACGTTGTTTGCAACGGAGCCTTATGCCAGTGTCATTGTGCCATCGTTGGGGTAGGCATCACACATGACAGGCGAACTGACTTGGTCATCTTGGTTGGACATTTGACTGCCCAGCTATGTGCTAACGATATTTTGTCTTCCACTTCATAGAATCATAGTTCGAAATTTCAGACTGCAGCATGGCAAGGGCAGACCCCATCTGGGCTAGGTCTTTATGGTTATCACCGAAGTGAAGGCATACGCCTCCGGATAAGGGAGAATGAGTGAGTGAGTAATTGTGGCTTAACACCGCTTCAAACAGTATTCCAGCAGGCGCGTTGCAAGCCAATTTTTTCGTGCAAGCCCGATAGATTGCAAAACTTTATATTTGATAGTATTGAGGGCTCGCGCAACTTTTTAGCAACAATTATGTGTAAGGCCTGGCTTTTTTTACAATGGTAGCAACCCCCCTGTCCAGTTATTTCATGAGTGAGTGAGTATCGTTTTACACCGCTTGTAGCAATATTCCAGCAATATCGCGGCGGATTACACCAGAAATGGGCTCCACACATTGCACCGATGTGGGGAGTCGAATCAGTGATCTTCGGCGTGACGAGCAAACGCTTTAACCACCTGGCTACCCCACCGCCAAGTTATATCATGGCGTGTCTGCTTAACGCCATGATTTGAAACATTACCCAGAGTACTTCATTATTTGAAGATGCCTATAAGAAACGTATCAATTCAAGATGTCGGGTATATATGTTTCATATCTATATTTAATGACAGGATATCAGGAATTAAATTACGGATATCACTAGAAAAACATGATTCAACATTTTAAAATTCTCTTACTATGTCATTAATCCAATTTAAGAAATAGAAAAATATTTTCAAGATATCATAATTTCCTTCAGTATGTTTGAATATAATTGTCCAATCTAAGAAAAAGTTATCATTCCACTTGTTCGCAACAATTTCTACTGTGATCTTCTGAATGCCTGATGGGACTTGCCATCAAGACATTGGGCAGCAGATTCACAAAATTCACCTCTCAATAAATGTATCTGGTATAATCAAAACATCTTAATCGATAGGAAAACTATTTTACGTGTATGTTAAAACAAACTTTCTAATATATTCAGGAGTCATTAACTCAGTTAGAGCATTCCTCAAAAGAAGTAATGTCAACTTAGCAACCATATATGTTAAACTTTTTGACTAGACAAAAACACGAAAGTCAAATATTTTACAGGACTTTACTTGAAACAAAATCAATCAAAAATCAGCATTGTGTAAAATGGAATAGGATACCAGAGAATGAAATCGATACAAACTATTGGCAACAATATAACCATATCCCGTTCCGCTGTCCCAAAGACACCAATCTGCAATGGTTTCAATACAAACTCTATCTTTTGCCAACAAATAATAGACTTTTTAAGATGCAATCGACCATGACTTGTGCAGCTATTCTTCTGGTTCTTTAGAGACTATAACACACCTATTTTATGATTGTAGCAAGGTTACTCCTATTTGGCAAAATCTGGAATTCTGGATGTAAATGTTAAGTTCACGAAAGAACCAAGTTTGCTCTGATTCGGCCATAAAAATAATGATCCAATCAACGTGATTTTTATCCTCTTCAAAAATATCTTCTTAGCTATAAAATATCCAAACAGATGCCAACCTTTCAGTTTTTACAACAGGAGCTTAAAAAAATATTACGAGCTGACAAAAATATTCTGCTATGATACGTTCAAGAATAAATCATTTATTCAAATTCTGGTCGATCTGCCACATTCCGCTTTCAGAATGATGTTTTAACTTCTGCATGATGTATTCTGTTAAATGTTTTCTAACTGAAATCTACAATATGTATTTAAACATGACTGGAATCTATGTACCAATATAAAAATAGAAAAAATAATAATTTGCTTCACCATATCCTAAAATCGTTTGTGATATCACGAATTAAATTGCAGATATCTGAAATCATTTGTATTTGAGATATCATTTCAAGATGTGTTGAAGTCACCTCGAGTGTAAGCTCTAATTTATTTCAACAATTGATGCAAATAATCCTCAGAATAATTATATCTTTAATTTCACTTTTGATATGAAATCATGGACTGAATTAAAGACGCCTGAAATACAATAATATATGTGATGAATTTGTGGATAAAACCTTTCGAGATATCTGGATTTATATGAATATTTACAGTGTGGTAGAAATTGTTTTTTTATAACGTCACACTCTCAGACATATCACAGAAGTGTACAGTTTAAGATGTCATATAAATTGTACTTTGAACATTAGAAATTAATTGAGGACATCTTCAATTACTTAAAATAATTATGTTTAAACGTGTTTGATATATTTAAATAAATTAATTCATGCTACATGTGAAAAAGGCTTGCCATGACTGATTACAATAATTTGTTATGTTCGGCAATATTTTCAATTCATGTATATATATGTTACAGTTACAGTCCCGGATGGGACTCAACCCAACAAAATGACTACAATCTGCACTTTACTGAAAAAGTGTAATCCCACATATAACATGTGTTAAATTTGACCACTTTCTAAATGGCATTGTGTAGTCATAGCTTCCGGCCGTTTGAGCCGAGCCAATTTACACTTGTCAGAGGGGCACACAAAGTCCGTGATTTAGACTACCAGTTGTCCGACTTCCATTTTTGTGAAAGCATCAGTGGCTGAGTGGGTTAGATGGCTGACTGTGTGTGCTGGCGATTAGGTGCCTGACTCTGAGAATGCGGGTTCGAATTCCGGAAGGGACTCAACACAACAAAATTACTAGAATCTCTACTTTACTGAGAAAGCATAGTCCCAAATATAACGTGTAAACTCTAACCACTCGCCAAATCCATCACACCATAAACAGACCCTGACGTTAATGGATCAGTACATTTGCAATACGATGCATGAAATTTAACGCATCTCTCCAGTAAAAATACAAATGTTGTACACATTGTATGTTCCAATAGGATCCACAATGGAGATAACAAGATCCTTGACCTTACCTGCGATATCTTCATAATTGTTTGCACGGGTACTATTAATTGCTCGAGACCCTTGGAATTCATTGCTACGGCAGCAAACTATAAAAGGATTTAGAATAAAAACATCTCAGATCATCATCTTGGAGTAGCCACCCGTTTGATACCAGTAACAAGGACTTCTCACTCACAGGTGTGAAAGAAAGGAGGTTCATCTCACGTGCTGTAGAGTTTACCTTATACTCTCTACAGTAATATCTGCACTCAGGAAATGCCAGCAGTGTCTGGTATTGGCTATTTACAACATAACAGGTCATACGTAATCTCTGTTTATTGGAAAGACATTTATCTAATAAACAGAAACTGTTAATGCAATAGAAATAGTGATGTCACACCAAACGCTTGGATGTTTGGTTTGTTGTGTACCGCCGCACTATTCAGTATGTAATGTAATGCCATACCAATAACCGTGTCTTCATTGGTTTAGCCCTGCTGCGTAGACAATACAACATTAAACTTATTCTAACTTGCATACGTTACAAGACGTTCAAAGGACATTCAGGAGATGCTCACTGACAGATTACCTCAGTCACACACTTTGTTAGACATACTAACAAAAGCGTCAAAACCGTTTCCCCATTCATAGGAAATCTCTGTTAAACGCTGAGTCGAGTGTACAATTGTGACTATATCACAAGCATATATTTGTTTCAGCAGTATAACAGATGCACGATGTTGTTTGCAAACAAACTGAGTCTGGACCTTACAATTCAGTGATTGTCACCATTCACACAAGTCGCACGTACAGTAATTGTACTCAGTCACACTGTACAGTAATTGTACCCAGCCGCTCTGTACAGTAATTGTACCCAGTCACACTGTACAGTAATTGTTCCCAGTCACACTGTACAGTAATTTTCCCCAGTCACACTGTACAGTAATTTTCCCCAGTCACACTGTAAGTAATTGTACCCAGTCACACTGTACTGTAATTGTACCCAGTCACACTGAACAGTAATTGTCCCGTCACACTATACAGTAATTGTACCCAGTCACACTGTACAGTAATTGTACCCAGTCACACTGTACAGTAATTGTACCCAGTCGTACTGTACAGTAATTGCACCCAGTCGCACTGCACAGTAATTGTACCCAGTCACACTGTACAGTACTTGTACCCAGTCGCACTGGACATTAATTGTACCCAGTCGCACTGTACAGTAATTGTACCAAGTCGCACTGCACAGTAATTGTACCCAGTCACACTGTACAGTACTTGTACCCAGTCCCACTGGACAGTTATTGTACCCAGTCGCACTGTACAGTAATTGTACCCAGCCGCTCTGTACAGTAATTGTACCCAGTCACACTGTACAGTAATCGTTCCCAGTCACACTGTACAGTAATTTTCCCAAGTCACACTGTACAGTAGTTTTCCCCAGTCACACTGTACAGTACTTTAACCCAGTCACAGTGTAAAGTAATTGTACCCAGTCGCACTGTACAGTACTTGTACCCAGTCACACTGTACAGTAATTGTCCCTAATCACACTGTACATTAATTGTACCCAGTCACAGTGTAAAGTAATTGTACCCAGTCACACTGTACAGTAATTGCCCCCAATCACACTGTACAGTACTTGTACCCAGTCACACTGCACAGTAATTGTACCCAGTCACACTGTACGGTAATTGTCCCCAATCACACTGTACAGTAATTGTACCCAGTCGCACTGTACAGTAATTGCACCCAGTCGTACTGTACAGTAATTGTACCCAGTCACACTGTACAGTACTTGTACCCAGTCGCACTGGATAGTAATTGTACCAAGTCACACTGTAAAGTAATTGTCCCCAGTCACACTGTACAGTAATTGTACCCAGTCACACTGTACAGTAATTGTCCCCAATCACACTGTACAGTACTTGTACCCATTCACACTGTACAGTTATTGTGCCCAGTCACTCTGTACAGTAATTGTCCCCAATCACACTGTACAGTAATTGTACCCAGTCACACTGTACAGTACTTGTACCCAGTCACACTGGATAGTAATGGTACCCAGTCGCACTGTAGAGTAATTGTACCCAGTAACACTGTACAGTAATTGTACCCAGTAACTCTGTACAGTAATTGTACCCAGTAACACTTTACAGTAATTGTACCCAGAAACACTGTACAGTAATTATACCCAGTAACACTGTACAGTAATTGTACCCAGTAACACTGAACAGTAATTGTACCCAGTAACGCTGTACAGTAATTGTACCCAGTCGCACTGTAGAGTAATTGTACCCAGTAACACTGTACATTAATTGCACCCAGTCGTGCTGTACAGTAATTGTACCCAGTCACACTGTACAGTACTTGTACCCAGTCGCACTGGACAGTAATTGTACCCAGTCGCACTATAGAGTAATTGTACCCAGTAACACTGTACAGTAATTGTACGCAGTCACACTGTACAGTAATTGTACCCAGTCGCGCTTTACAGTAATTGTACGCAGTCACACTGTACAGTAATTGTCCCTAATCACACTGTACAGTACTTGTACCCAGTCACACTGTAAAGTAATTGTACCCAGTCACACTGTACAGTAATTGTCCCCAATCACACTGTACAGTAATTGTCCCCAATCACACTGTACAGTAATTGTACCCAGTCACACTGTACAGTAATTGTACCCAGTCGCACTGTACAGTAATTGCACCCAGTCACACTGTATCTTACTCACACTCAATCACACTATTCAGTAGTTAAACCTTGTAACACTGTACATTACCAGCTCCGTCAATCTGCAGTCAGGAGGTGGTGGTAAATGTGGTTGATTATAGTATGTTCAGATGTAATGATCAAATGATAGTGAATCAAAGGTCTATACTGTGTTACTGAAACTGAATACTTTGATTTCACCTGAGTCCAAATTACAAACATACACACGGCCACGTCCATCTACACAAACTCCGAACGGGTATGAGACGCCATCATCTGCAGTGAGTATGTTTCTGACAAACCGTCCTGACTCAGTCAGTTGAACAACAGTATGTTGATAGTAGTCAGTAACCAGGATGTCACCTGTGCTGGTTCTTGTGATACCACGTGGACTTCCCAGTGTTGTGTGTCCTGGTGTAGGGTAGGTGAACACAACGTCCCCTCCAGCTGTCAGGCACAGGACACGCTTCGAACAGCTATCCGACACAAGGATGTTTCCTGTTCTTGTTGTACAAAGAAACTCAGGAATATGTATAATTTCCTTCCCACGAACTATAGGTTTAATTGACTTCAGGACGTTTCCTCTAGTGTCCAGAATATCCACACATTTGTCACTATTAGAACCTGCTGCTAGTGTTGACGGTGTCACAGACGTTATACCCCGGTACTGTTTGCTGGTTCTGATGGTCGACAGCAGCACCAGGTCAGGGTTCACTTCAACTGTTACAATCTGACTGGAACGCGGCACAGTGACAGCAACCTGGTTATCTTTCAGTCTTGTTATACCCCACGGTTTACCTCCCAGGCTGAGCTTGCTGTGATGTCGTTGTTTGTTCCTGGTGTAGAAGGACTTCACACTGTTGTTGCTGTAGTCTGTTACAACCACTGTGTCTGTACCATTCACCGGCAACACTGTTAAGTCACCATTGTACATATTACTCTCATCTCCAGCTACCTTAACGCTAATGGTGTCCTGTAACACAGGAGCAGCCTTCAGGTCCAGCATGTTACTGGTGTCTTGAGATACAGGTGTTGCCTCCAAGTTCACCATACCGTCATACTGGACATCTATCTCCCCCAGCTGTAGATCGTCCAGAGCTCTACTCAACATGTCTTCATTCTGTCTCAACATGATCCTGGCTATTCTACCCCTCTTCTTCACGTCTATGTCTCCATCAACCTCCACATCACCGGCCTCACATCCCTGATACAACTCATACACGCCCACGTCACACTCAGATTTTAGAATCTGGTCTATCAGCTCAGCCTGCCGTCGGTACATGTGTACTGACATTTCAACAGACTTTAGGTCGGCTGTCAGTTGTTCAATGTGCTTTTCAGAAACTTCTTTCAGTTCATCTAGAAGTTTATTTTCCATGAAAGTTATCTTTTCTCTCGCGTTGTTACCAAAAGACTTGATGTCATGTTCCATTCTTGCATATCGATCTTTCTCAGAAACGACGTTCACTTTAACAGCATCAACTTTTGCTTCCATTTGGATTTGCTTCTTCCAAATAGTTTTCTTCTTATTCAACAGCTGGGACTTTAATGCAGGTAACTCCGACTCCAGTGTGACAACTGATTCACATTTCCTGTGATAGATAACACAACAGGTGTGACAGGTGACTTTCTTGCAATCTTTGCACAGGAATTTGATGTTTTCATCCTTGTGTTCTTTACACTTAATGTTTCGTTTCCTGGGGATACTGGCCTCACTAGTCAGGTCAGTTGTATCGTGATGACGTGTGGATGAGATGCGACTGTGCGCCCTAGCACATTCATCACACAGGGCGTCATCACAAACAGAGCACCACACAGTCGCTGGAGTTGTCTCCCCTTCGCGATGACAGAACGTGCAGTTTTTTGTATCTGGACAAAAAAACCATGGTTGAATGAAAATCATTCAGCATCGTATCATCGAGTGTTTGTTCTCACGTGTAGCTATTTAAGGGCGGTAGGCAAGCCTTGTAGTCAAAGCGTTCGATCGTCATGCCAAAAATCCGGGTTCGATTTCCCAGATAGGCACAATGTGTGACACCTATTTCTGGTTTCCCCGCCATGATATTGCCGTAATATTGCCAAAGGCGGCATAGAACTAAACTCACTCACTCTATCTGTATACGTAATTGCACAATTTGTTGTGGTTTATGAATTATTGTTACTAGTAATTTTAGTGTAAGCTACCTCACAACACGATATATTAAACAAAGATATCCGCAAGACTGACTTCAGATTTCGGGAACTTGAATGACTAGTTTGACATAATGAAAATTGAAATTTGTATCAGTAAATAATGAATGTATTTACAATTACATGTAGATTTAGATCAGTCATTTTCACATTGAGTAAGGGGAGTGTGTTGCCTTCGCAAAGGTTAAGAGTCGAACATGGGGCGGCTACAAACTTTATACGATGACCACAGACGAATATTTCACAGATTTTACACGTGTCTATCCTTCCTTTCTTTTGAGAGTGATGCAAGACACATCCAAAAGACCATCGTGCATTGCAGTACCAGTTTACCATTGATCCTTACCTTTACATCCGGGACCAAATGAGTCTAGCAGTCCCTGGATGACAAAGCTCGGTTTGACGTCATCCGCCCACACATCTATTGGTCTCTCAGGGGAGGTCACTTTCGTCATCTTGCTGCAGAAAGGACACAGCAGAGACTTGGCACTGATGGCTTCCGGTTTGGTTTTGGTGTAGTTGACGACACATTTCCGACAGAATGTGTGATAACAGACAAGGGTGCATGGATTGTCAAATACTTCTGTACATATGGTGCATGTGAGAAAATGTTCTTGCAGTTTCTGAGACGTCGCCATCTGCAAAATGAAGATGCATTAAATCTACAATGTTATTACGCATTGCATGCTAACGGGACTATTTGCACTAGGCAATATGGCCAAAGTAACGGTTGCGTGTAATAGCATTTATACAAAATAAATGATATGTTGGTTGAAGTTATTTGAACCCTTTTTCATAAGCCCTTGTTCATTTAAAAAAATCAAATTAAACAGACTATTGTTGACAATCATTTATGAAATGTATTCATACCCTTGACCTCTGTTATGACGGCGTAATGCACTCGTTCTGTAAGTTGAATTGTGATATATTTTTGTGCTAATGTTGGATGGGTAAAAAATGAATATTTAACGAATGAATAAGGTCTTATACGGGACACCATTTAGTATTCTCTCTCTATATATAAACGATAGTAAGTGTTCATTTCAAATTTTTGGACATACCAGCGCAACCACAGCCGACAAGCCTCACAGATGTATGTGTGTGTGTGTGTGCGCGCGAGCGCGTGCGTGCACGTGTGTGTGTGTGTGTGTGTTCTGGAGAAAGACTGAAAATTCTAAGATCAAGGTCTTCTGCAATCAATATTTTGTGTGCCCACCCTGGGAGACAAGAACAGCCTGTTGGGGTGTCGTCTTGTGCAAATACCCCAGGTCACTTATCAGTCAAAGTTAAGCAATGTTGTACACAGAGAGTCCTTGGATGGTTGACAGGTTTATTTTCAGCTTGCGTGATCTCGGTACTGTGATGAAGTGACGAAGATGAAACACATTTGTTTCTGCCATTGTGTAAACTTGGCGTCCAAACAATCACACTGCTTCCGCCAACTACGTGGACGTCCAGCTTTCGTTTGACGCAAAACGTTGATGAAGACGACAACACACCCGCCATTTACACCAAGAAGCAACAATGACTCGTGCACTTGCCACATAAAGCGCTGACGTCGATATCAGCGCTCATTTGCATAACGAAAGTACCTAGGCTAGTGTCAACTGCTTGCGCCAACAAACGCAACTCCAGCTGTGAATATTTACTGTCTAAATATTTGATTAAATGTAGAAATGACAGCCCTAATAGTTTTCCATCTTGAGTCAATGTACCGTTATGTCCACAGACCGAGTCACCTGAGATTAGGCTGTACATATCGATATATCTGTATATAGTGAGAGTAGACCACGGAGCACAGAGGGAAGGACTTGAATTCTAAGACCATTATCACCATATTTCTTCACACCTTGTCGTTTGATCACCGCGTAATTACGTCGCTATACCTGGTCATTGTTAGAACTGTAGTGTACGTGAAGTCTGGCAAATACCGTCTGCACGTTTACTCAACTTCATTTCCTCGTTCCAGCCAGTCGGTGAAGGGTGAGGTTGAGCCACATAATAAACGGCTACTGGTCAGCAACGACACACAACACGACGTAAATGCACCCTCCGAGAAGACATGAGGGGGTCAGGGTTCGCGTGTCAAGTATACAACACGATAAAGCACATATACTTCTGCCATTGCTTACGTGCATTTATCTCTCAGTCATTTCCTCCCAATGTACGACTTTTGAAACTAATTTGACATATATTTTTTCTAGTCTGTCTCACAGTCCCTGAACCACATTATTTTCCCTACAGCCTAGCCTTCCCTGCAGTGCTAAAGCCAGAATTGAAGCAAGCTTAGATTTCTAGTTAGTCTCTCATAAAGGTCTTTCATGTATCACCAGAGGCGCTATCAACAGGTGCATTTCCGTTTATTATCGCGTATACAATGGACTAACCTAGATTGCAAAACTCATTTCTATAACGAAAGTAGGCTGTAAGAGATTGCCCAACAAATGCAGTGCCACTTGACACTATACACCCATACTTTCTCAAAACTGTATTATGTGTAGATATGATCATGATAGGCATAGTAATTTACTGACGTCAGTGCATCGGTAAGTCCACACACGAACTTGTGTGAGATGAGGGTAGTCGGTTCCCTGTACATAACGAAAGTAGACACGTCAACACAGCACAGGGAAGGTCACACACAGGAAACATAACACCATGGCTGAATTACCACACACAGGAAACATAGCACCAAGTCTGAATTACCACACACAGGAAACATAGCACTATGGCTGAATTACCACACACAGGAAACATAACACCATGGCTTAATTACCACACACAGGAAACATAGCACCATGGCTGAATTACCACACACAGGAAACATAGCACCATGGCTGAATTACTACACAGGGAAAAAGCACCATGTCTGAATTACCACACACAGGAAACATAGCACTATGGCTGAATTACCACACACAGGAAACATAACACCATGTCTGAATTACCACACACAGGAAAAATAACACTATGGCTGAATTACCACACACAGGAAACATAACACCATGGCTTAATTACCACACACAGGAAACATAACACCATGGCTGAATTACCACACACAGGAAACATAACACCATGGCTTAATTACCCACACAGGAAACATAACACCATGGCTGAATTACCACACACAGGAAGCATAATACCATGGCTGAATTACCACACACAGGAAGCAAAACACCATGGCTGAATTACACACAGGAAACATAACACTATGGCTGAATTACCACCCACAGGAAACATAACACCATGGCTGAATTACCACACAGGAAGCATAATACTATGGCTGAATTACCACCCACAGGAAACATGGGACCATGGCTGAATTACCACACACAGGAAACATAGCACCATGGCTGGATTACCACACACAGGAAACATAACACTATGTCTGGATTACCAAACACAGGAAACATAACACCATGGCTGAATTACCACACACGGGAAACATAACACTATGGCTTAATTACCACACACAGGAACATAGCACCATGGCTGAAATAGTAGACACAGGAAACATAACACCATGAGCCCAATTACCACACACAGGAACATAACACTATGTCTGAATTACCAAACACAGGAAACATAGCACCATGGCTGGATTACCATAACACACAGGAAACATAACACCATGAAGCCCAATTACCACACACAGGAAACATAGCACCATGGCTGAATTACCACACACAGGAAACATAGCACCATGGCTGGATTACCACACACAGGAAAAAAGCACCATGTCTGAATTACCACACACAGGAAACATAGCACCATGGCTGGATTACCACACACAGGGAAAAAAGCACCATGTCTGAATTACCCACACAGGAAACATAGCACTATGGCTGAATTACCACACACAGGAAACATAACACCATGGCTTAATTACCACACACAGGAAACATAACACTATGGCTGAATTACCACACACAGGAAACATAACACCATGGCTTAATTACCACACACAGGAAACATAACACCATGGCTGAATTACCACACAGGAAACATAACACCATGGCTGAATTACCCACACAGGAAGCATAACACCATGGCTGAATTACCACACACAGGAAACATAACACCATGGCTAAATTACCACACACAGGAAGCAAAACACCATGGCTGGATTACCACACAGGAAACATAACACTATGTCTGAATTACTACACACAGGAAACATAACACCATGGCTGAATTACCACACACAGGAAACATAATACTATGGCTGGATTACCACCCACAGAAACATAACACCATGGCTGAATTACCACACACAGGAAACATAACACCATGGCTGGATTACCACACAGGAAACATAACACTATGTCTGAATTACCAAACACAGGAAACATAACACCATGGCTGAATTACCACACACAGGAAACATAATACTATGGCTGAATTACCACAGACAGGAAACATAGGACCATGGCTGAATTACCACACACAGGAAACATAACACCATGGCTTAATTACCACACACAGGAAACATAACACTATGTCTGAATTACCACACACAGGAAACATAACACCATGGCTGAATTACCACACACAGGAAACATAATACTATGGCTGAATTACCACACACAGGAAACATAACACTATGTCTGAATTACCACACACAGGAAACATAACACCATGGCTGAAATAGTAGACACAGGAAACATAACACCATGTCGGAATTACCACACACAGGAAACTTAACACCATGGCTGAAATAGTAGACACAGGAAACATAACACCTTGGCTGAAATAGTAGACACAGGAAACATAACACCATGGCTGTAATAGTAGACACAGGAAACATAACACCATGGCTGAAATAGTAGACACAGGAAACATAACACCATGGCTGAAATAGTAGACACAGGAAACATAACACCATGGCTGAAATAGTGGACGATATTCACCGTATTACTTCACACCTTGTCCATCAATCACAGAGTAATGAATTGACTATAACCCGACATTGGAAGATTTGTAGTGTAAGTGAAGTCTGGCAAATATCCCCAACACGCCCACTTACCTTCACGTGCTCGTTCCATACAGGTGATGCAGATAGAGATTGTACCACGTGACGAATATCTACTGATTAGTGACAGGGGTCGGAGGTATCACGGGAATATTACGATAACGCACACACAGTTTCTTCGCACCTCTTTCATTCTGCGTGTCGTGTCTTTCGATTATAGGATCATACAAACTGATTTCAAAACATTCTCTGGCCGTCACGCCAGAGGTCGGGTTCGGAGCTCAACATGGGTACAATGCGCGAAGCTAATTTCTGGTGTGTACAGGGTGATCTGTTTGTGGTGCCTGATATCTGATGTCTGCCTCTTTATCTTGTTGACGATTCAGTTGCTGGTGATCTATAGCCCGTTTTTATATTGTAGTGTTGTCTATACTTATATTTTTTATGATAACGTACTAGTTTTATATTTTAGAGCTATGGTACACTAGTAGTTTTACTGTCCTTCGATGGCAGATTTTTATGTTCTAAACTTATTGATTTTAATGTTGATATAAATTATGTTGTTCTCGTCACGAAATGGCTGAAGTATTGCCGATGTGACGTTAAACTTAACTCACTCACTCACTCTTGTTGACGATCTGCAATATGACAGAGCGAAACGACTTCAAACCTCGTTCGTGATCAAAGCATGTTTTAGTTGATATCTGCACTGATACAGGTCCAAGACTGGGTGAAACCCACACGCACGGGAATGGTGCTGAGATACCTCATAATTTGACACACCAGAATTCTGGCATGCCCAAGGGATGCAACTCTGCGAATAGCGGCGCTTCACATGATTGGTCGACCCACGGCCAATCAAAACTATTAACAAGTGTGAAAGTGATGATTGTCTTTGGGCAATTTGATTCTTTGTTGACAACAAAAATGTTTTGTTTGTTTTTTGTTTTTTAGGTTTTCTTTGTGTGTGTAATGGCAACTATGACGGGGGTTCAGTCGACTATGTACTCTGCAGAGTTGTGTCCCATTGTGCGTTCGAATCTCACTTTTCCCCAGTTAAGTTTCTATATGTGTCAGTGCCATACACGTGTTCCTGGGTTTCACAAAAACATAAACGTCTGAGATCTGCATTACCTCGGGCTTTCCTACAACTACGTCATAACTATTACTAGATTACTGTTGAAAAACTCGTAACACCAAAACTCACTCACTCTCTGACCAAAATACATTGTACATGAACATGAAGGGAGGATTCAGCATTATTTCTCAGATCAGATTTATATAATCAAATTTTAATATTAATCGTTCTTTCTTTCCCAAAGATGGTACGAGGAATAAATTCCAATTGGAAATCGAGTTATTTGACATATTTTGTGTAATTTCTATGCCTGAGAAAAACACCTTTTCTTTGAGATATATCCAAGACAGAAATATATTTGTAATTTCACATGTTGATTTACTTTGGTCATAGCTATCCATCATGCACACTATCTAAACCCCCCATGTCACCAGACATGTTCTTGAACGTTGATTACATATAACACAATTATAAATCTAAAATCTGTCCATGTTTTGGGTATGTTGAATAGAGCTAGTAATATCAGGAATGGTGTCAAAAGCTTTCACTTTTATCTTATATTTGATTAACTAGTAGAGACCAAAAACCTTACATATTCAAAAGAAATCTATACTAAAAGCAGAAAGTATCCCACGCACTGATATTCAAAAAGTTGGTGGTGAAAACAATGCAAATTCTCCCTTAATGTAACAGCTAACGCCGCGAAAACACGACTCGATGTGGGGCGTGAATCCATGTATTGTCGAGCAGATCAGCAGAAGAAAAATACCCTATAAACATTTCATAATAAATATAAATCACGGTATGTTTGGTATCACAGTAGTATCACAGATTAATTAGCATGTATATTATGAGAAATGAAAAGGGGGATACAAACTGAAAAACATGTAACGCATGATCACACTGAACAAACAATAAATATATTAATAACAAACAGTTTTCCCTTTGAATTATTTCACTTAGATAATGAGACTGGGTTTGTAATAGGAATTCAATATAATGGGTATGTTCTCCATATGAGAATGAAAGGTATATGTTTAACATTTCATAATTATTCAAAATTAGCTCACCCGCCTATAAGACAAAGCAACTCCTTTACCTCCCTGCCCGGCGGCAACGTGATGATAAACCTTAGTAACACAACATGGTCAAATGTACATATATTACACGCATCCATAACTGACACTAGCCATGCATTCTCTTTCTTTGCAGCCATCATCACAGCGCGTACATTCTACACACGTGGCTATGCTTCTTGTCTGTTGAGTGTAATGCAAGACATATCCAACTGTGATTCATCGGTATATTTTGCCCCAAACAGACAGTAGTGAATTCACTGACTATATAAACGCGTCAGGTTTTTAAGACGGTTCGTCCTTACATATCTTCAAGTGCTCCCGTTGTTCCCGCCATATTAGAGGCAATGGGGTGTGGTAAATATTGAGATGCTGTGTGAATGTAAACTAAATTTTACGTTCACACTGCTGACTGCCTAACTCTACCACAATATAACAACGGCGTAAATTAAACGCCATAACCATATGCACACACCATACGTGGTGGATGTATTCAGTGTCTGAATATAAATGTTATTTTATCCCCATCTACAGCCAAGTATGACAGAAAGGTTTCATTTTCACTGACCCATTTGGTTTCAAGAATTCGCGCCATTCGAGACCAGTTTGTGAAATTATTGTGTTATGAAACAGTGCTGTACGTTGTCCAACTGTTTCACAAATGTATGTTATTCATTGTACATGTTAAGTCAGCGAGGGACAGTGGTGTGCTAGACTTATAATATACGTGCAGAGAATGTATAAGAACCTTACTCTGATAGAGAATATTATAGTAAGTTATGCCTCAGCGTAGATGTTAAGGCAGCTTATTTCTGTGTATATGAGGGGAGCAAGGAATTGCCTCTTATCTCACATTACGTTTCACCTCAAAACCGGCATTGTGTGTGATGATCATACCCTGCCTAGCCCTAGTTGCAAGTTGTATTGATGTTGCTGAGAAGTGACGATTACCATTATTGTCTCTATTGCTATAGTCACTGCCCTTGTATCTACTTCCTCTGAACGTGTAATGACACACTGTTTTGTAATGCCACAATGATACCTTTGTATTGATTTGTATTGATTCAGACCTTGGTTAATTTTTGTATACAGCAGTTGATTACAGCACGTGTATTTATTGTTGGTTGGTTTCACACCGAGTTCTTTTACGGACTGATTCCCGCTTAACTTTTGAGATTCAATTCAGGAATCAACACTTGCCACAAGGTGAGGTATTTCGCTCATATGACGACGTTGCCACAAGGCGAACCAGTCTTGTTTCATTCCATCAGAAAGTTCCTGTTGTTGCTCATGAAAATACCAGATCTTTCTGCCCATCTGCAACTGAGAACGCAGGTGAAAAGCGTACAGTTTGTATCTACTTCCGCTCTTTCCTGTCACGGTGTCTGTGAAGGTGAGGAACGATTTTCTACCCGAATTATTTCAGGGGAACAACTGACAAGAATTAGCATATGTTTGTGAAGGTGTCACCGGTGGGGAAGGATGCTATTATGATGAACCATTTCGGTATACATTGTTATATCGTTGTCAAGCAAAAGTGCACTGTTGCCTCTCACACAAAATTTTAACAGGAAGTGGTGGTTTGTTGAAATCATTATTTCCAACAGTGAACATTAAAATATGTGTCCTAGCTGTAAGTCAGGGCTCATGGGAATGCATACTTGGAGTATTGGAATTCTCATGTCAACTCGCCTTAAAAACACGTTTCATGGTTCCTGGAAGTCGGGTTTCCAATATTGCACTGTGAGTCTAATTCACACGTGGTGCCGAGTTACCTGCCCTGATTGTCCATGGATTCGCTAAAAGTTCAGATTCGAACTGGTCTTTTTGTCTCTGTATATTATTTCCCCTTTGGTCCAGCACTGCCTGAAAGTTTAGGTTCTCTAATTCTGAATCGCACATCTCACTGGGTCTCATTTTCAATCAATTGATTTATCTGATAGTTGTATATTTTCAGAGACTAAGTACGAGCTTATGATCTTTGCGACTACGTAACGTGTCAACAAAAAGGTGTCACATCTCTGTGCTGCCTCATTTGCATATACCCAAGTTAACAAATATACAAGCTGACTAAAATACAGATGGAGATGGTGACAAATTTCCGTTTTTTAAGACCACCAGAAGACAGCTGCAGACAACCACAGCTACAGATCTCCATGTGTTTTCTGTTTGCTCTGCTCAGTGACAACTCCAAGACATAGTGTACTAGATATGATACACCAAATGCCTGAATGACGATATCACAAAAGTGTGCTCAGCAAACACATACTCACCTGATGAAGGAGTAAGAATATACTTCGAAACGTCGTGACCCTTCACAACAAAGAAGTTGACATCCATACAATTCTTGCCTTTATGTGTTTCACCTCTAAATGCCCTTCAAAGACTCTAAACACATACTCAGTAAAAATAAATGTGACCGACATAAAAACAGTACACTAGGGCATATGATTTTGCCTGTGTAAATCATGTAATGCTTATGCTTGGTGAAGGATAGGCTTATGCGCGCCTGTTCTCATTCTTGAGCCTTCATCATATGTACTACCACTGCATGTGTACTAAAAGTAGGTGTCATTTTCGTTATAAGTGTATTGATAGTCAGTGGAGGGCTACGTTTCATATTTAAGATGATAATGTACGTTCTCAGGATTGTGTCCCAATATTGCTCTCAATAAACACGGAACTAATCTAACTAATAAATGGCGCACCATGAGTGATGGTGACATTGGTCGACACATCAAAAGCGTTCCTGGGATAATTCGTACATGTCAAGGCAACAGAGCTAGGCTTACCGGATCCTGGTAAAGTTAGCTGCAAAATGCAAAATAGAATCCTCGACCACGTTCGCCAGAATCTTATCAAATCAGCCATTAGAACCCATTAGATCAGATCGCCTACTCCACCACAGACAGTATCATATCGTTTTCAGTTCCC